TGTATTCTTTGGAACATGTGTGAAGTCTGGTGAGACACATACTTGATCCCTAGTATATATATGATTCTTAAGGAATGATATGGTCCTTATGGACATTATTATATGGCACTACGGTGCAATTCTACGCGCACTACGGTGCAATTCTATGTGGCACTTCGGTGTATTTATATGAGCTGTGGTGACAGCATTAGTGCACAACCTCCATAAACTCACATATCTATAGTTCTCATATAGTACATGGGCTAATCAAGATATAAACAAATATATGTTAGTGATATGATAAATGTTATAGAAAGATATGATGTTGTGTATTAGTGTTTGATTGAAAAGGTTAAGCATAAAAGTATGTGATTACATGATAAACTGTTAATGATGAGTTATGTGTATGTATGTATTTATTGTATTAATCTGATATGATTTTATATGACGAGGGAAATCATGTAATTTGTATAACATGATAGAACAGAACATGCATGTATTGATATGTTATAAAGTGCATTATAAGTTTTTATGCCTCACTAAGTCTTCGACTTAGCGTGTGATTGTTTCACACGTAGGGTACAGAAGCAAGAGAAGAGAAGAAGATAATACAGGTCAGCATCTCCCTACAAGATTTCAGATCAGAAATAGAGAGTTAATGATTTTTGTTATTTTGAATATAGTTGGCATGTACTAATTGATTTAGTTAAATATGCCTGTCGATTTGGTTATTGTGGTCAAATTACGTAACTAAACTGCTTTTACTCTAAGGAAAGTTTTAAATTTTCTTTGAATTTTGTCAAGAGTCAAAGTTTGAAAAGTCAATGTGACACCTCGGACTCGTATCCGAGTCGGGTACGGGTTGGGGGTGTTACATTCAGGCTGGAGTATGTAAATCTCTTCTTCAAGATTTCCATGAAGAAAAGTGTTTAACATCTAGCTGCTCTATATGTAAGTTCATGTAGCACACATTACCAAAACTACTCGAACTATTGTTAGTCGAACCACATGATAAAATATTTCATTGAAATCAATATCTTCTTTTTGAGCGTATCCTTTGACCACCAGTCTTGCACGATACCTCTCAACTTGATCGTCACCATTTGCTGATTTTGAAGACCCATTTGTTACCAATTGGCTTCCTTCCTTGTGGTGTGGCACAAGGTCCCATGTATTATTTTATGAAGGCTTCGATTTCTTCTTGCATCGCCATCATCTACAGTGAAGCATCTGAGTTGTTTATGCCTCCTGGTATGTTGATGCTCACCGTCCTCTGTTAAAAGGCAGTATGCAATATTACCTTCTATAACATAATCTGAGTGCCAATTGGGACGTCTTCTCACACGATCTGATTGACTAGTTGTTGGAGCTTCATAACTCTCTAGTTCTGCTTCAGAATAATCTCAAATTCTTCGCTTGTGTATTCTCCTCTATTAACTGTTCTGAAACACTTGATCTTATTTCCAGAATCAAGTTCCACCCGCGCTTTGAAGTTTTTGAAAGTTGAAAACACATATGACTTCTTCTTAATAGGGTACACCCAGCATCTCCAAGAGTAGTCATCAATAAATGAGACAAAGTATTTTGCTCTGCCTAGGGATGTAACCGGTGCTTTCCATACGTCAGAGTGAACCAATTCTAGAACACATTTGCCTCTACAATTTGACATGTTGAATTTCAATCGGTGCTGCTTACTTGTTATGCAATACTCACACAAGGTATGTGATACATTTGTTAAGCCTGGAAGTAGGTTTTGCTCCACAAGGACTTTCATTTCTTGTTCTGACATGTGTCCAAGTTTTTGATGCCATAACATTACAGAATTTGAACTACATGAGGCAACAGAGGCTTCTGCTTCTAGCAAAGTCTCTCCCTTCAGTATGTACAAGTTTGCTGTTATCTTTTCGCCTTTCAACACCACAAGCGCTCCACGGAACACCTTCATGATTCATTTCCGTGTTTCAATCTTGCTTGCATTATTATCCAACAATCTGTAGGATAATAAATTTTTCTTCAGGCCTTTCACGTTCCGTACATCTCGAACAACTTTAATTGTTTCATCATACATCTTCAATTTCATGGTTCCCACGCCAATGATCTCTAAGGCATGATCATTGCAACTATACACAGATCCTCCTGAGACAAGTTCATAATGATGGAACTATTCTCTTCTTGAGGTCATGTGATATGTTGCTCCCGAATCAATGAGCCATATGTCTGCATATCTCTTTCTACCTTCCACGGTGGTTGACGCTTCACAGCATAGAGCATCTCCATCATCTGAAGTGTTTGCAGTATTGCCTTGTGGATTGGAGTTTTTATTTAGACTCCAACAATCCTTCTTCAAGTGACCCTTCTTTCCACAGTTGTAACACTTTAAATTCTTCTTGCTCCTCGACTTTGATCTACCATGTTTGTGACTGCTGCTTTGGCCACGTTCCGTTGATCTCCTTCTCATCGTTGTCAACGCTTCAGCTTGTTGCAGATTTACTTATCTGTCTTCCTTGTTCTTGCACCGATTTTCTTCTTGTAGAACAACAACTGCAACATCATCGAAGACTAGACTGGTGACATTACTATTTGTCAAGTTGATGATGAGTTGATCATACGAATCAGCTAGACTTTGAAGTAGAAGTTCAGCACGTTCTTGTTCTCCTATTGTACATCTTAAGGATGCAAGCTGAGAAAATAAAGTGTTCAGCGTGTTTAAGTGCTCCGTCACTGAAGTAGATTCTGGCATACGGAGAGTATACAATTTCCTCTTAAGGAAAATTTTATTGTGCAACGATGTGGCCTCGTACAATTTGGTGAGATGATCTCATATCTCCTTAGCTGTCTTTTTCTCCTCGATGCTTGACAATACTTCATATGCTAATGCTAGATGAAAGTTTGCCATAACATTTCCGTCCATTTTGATCCATTTGTTGTCATCTGCAAAATCCACTGGCCTTTCACTAATAGCCGCTAGACACCCTTCTTTCCTCATGATGGCCTCCATCTTTAATTTCCACAATGAGAAATTTCTCCCATTGAACTTTTCAATATCAAATTTCGTTGTCATAGCTTCTTTTACGGATAGCTCCCACTATTTCACTATCTTGAATAGTTCTTTGGAACCTTCAAAGAATGGGTAATAACTTCTTACTTTCTTATGTTGGAGGATCCACCTTTTGGTGGCAACCACAAAGACAGTAAGCAGATATTACACACTCTAATCTAGCTCGGATACCAATTGTTGCGGAAGACGGCTATCGGATAGAGCAAAATCGCAACTGATAATTTGAGAAAATAAAAATGAAGATAAAAGAGACACAAAATTTACGTGGAAAACCCCTGAATAATATAGGGTTAAAACCACGAGCAACTGTAGAAGAATTTCACTATGAGAAAATATGAATTACAACTTCTCTCAATCGACCAAGGAGAAAACAATGATAAATTCTCTCTTGATAAAAAGGAGAAAACAACTCTCAAGAAACTCTCTAAATTCTCTCTAGTATTGGAAGAAAGCTAGAATGCTTTGGGATAGTTTTAAAGATAAATGAGCTAGGGTATTTATAGTTGAAACTTAAGGACTAATTTGTAAATACCCTAAAATACAATGACTAAATATGTAGTTGTACCTTGCTAATTTTCAACCATTTTAGCAGCCCAATTTGAACCAAAATAGCCACTTAAATTGACAATTATTTTCAACACTTTCCCCTATCTCAGTCATCGAAGGGCTTCCATGGCAGATGAACCTCTTTATATTTAAGGTCAGCAGGATATTGATCCTGAAAACACATGAAAAAAATATTGAAACTTGTGATTTTCATTCCCATTTTTTTAGGATCCGAATACAAACAATCTATGGATTCGGTACGAAGAAAGAATCAACATAGGGTATTGGCTACCCGATCTGTTCGGATCATTAAGCCATGGTGCAGGAGCAGCTGAGTGGGGTGGCGAGGTGTTCAGCTCGAAGCTAGAGCGAGCTCCACATACAGAAACACACATGGGGAATGAAAATTTTCCGGATTGGGCGACGGAGAATTCGGGTTATTTCAAGAGGGTGAGAATCCTGGATATCTCACTCAACTTGAAGTTCCCGGAATGGATGATGAGTTATGAAGATGAGTACTGGTGTTATCGAAGTGATCATGCTTCGGATTACATTGTGGACCCTGAGTTTTATTTCGGAGGCCCTGGAAGAAATGATATGTGGTCTATCAATGGCTGCTGTTGCCTCCAAATAAATCTAAGACCTTCAAAACTCACTGAATGAATTATCACTAGTACTTTGATTATTGGCCTTTGGGTTAAGTATAGGGATGAATAGAAACGATTGATTATGTTCTTACATAATTTAGATTTTTTTTTTGAAAATTCGATTTCATCCCTAAAATTTCATAAGTTTATTTTCTAACATTAGATCTTACGTATGTTCGGATTAAGTTACTCGATATTATATATTTTCAAATTTGTTTGAAGTGAGAAAATGCTTTTTTTTTGACAAAGAGAAAAGGCTAGTTTTGCAACTATACACACTTGAACGAATTAATTAACCATGGATACTCAAAGAATTAAATTTGTTGGTTTAAAATCTTAATATTAAAGGAAATTGATGAATGGTATAAAAAAGATCATTACTCCATATTTGGTTCTAACAAAAAAATCAGGTAAGAAAAGTCTATTTTGATAAGGATTACAATTCTTATAAGAAAAGTAAAAATTAAGAAATTTTAAAAATCAATCAGGAATAGACGAAATAGTAAAGACTCAATAAAGGTAAGTTTATTTTGGTCAGAAATTCAATTTTAAAAGGAAAGAAATATTTAATTTTCATTTTAACATAACCAATAAATTTATTTTAATTTCGATATCAGAAAGAAAATAGTAATTAAATCTAATGAGAAAATTATAAACTAAGGGCACAATATATATTTACATTTTTAGAGCTTATTATATATATACAGTAATAGGAGCTGATAAAGGAGATTATCTGTGGTTTCCAAAACATAATATATTCTATCTAAGACATGTTCCATCTTACAACTATTGAGGGAGAGGGGAAAAGGCCGAAAGTGGCAAAACTGAATATTTCCAGTCTTTTCTTGATATTGGTTTTATCCTACTTGAGTGATGGCGCAAATGGAAAAGTTAATTTCAAAGAAGTTGATCGGAAATTAAAACAGCTTAACAAGCCTGCAGTGAAGACCATACAGGTATTTTCTTTACTAAACCCTCTAAAAATTATACACTGTACAATACATATTTTGAACGTTGAAATGGCCATGGCAGAGTGAAGATGGAGATATTATCGACTGTGTTGATATCTACAAACAACCTGCTTTCGATCACCCTGCGTTGAAGAATCACGTTATCCAGGTTAAAAAAATTTCTATCATCACTCAGTTTCGTTCTTGTTTGTGCTTATACTGGTTGTGGACGTAACAAATGCTGTTCAACGTACAGATGAAACCCAACTTTGATTTCAAAGAAGAGAAACCAAGCACAACGGACGAGTCATCGAAGCTAGTGGTGTCTCAAACATGGCGACGAAGTGGAAGCTGTCCAGAAGAAACTGTTCCGATTCGAAGAATTAGAAGGGAGGACTTACTGAGAGCGAATTCCATTCACCGATTCGGAAGAAAACCTCAAGAAATTGATGTCTCTAAATCAAACACAACAAATCAGGAAGATGGTCACTTTCCATTTATTAACAACACAAAACTTAATTTTCCTACAATGGCTAATCGATCCGTAAGCATATTATAATTTTTTTCTCTCTCTCTTTCTTCTTCAATCGTTTGACTTGGTAGCTTTTGTGAAACAGGCTGCAATTCTTGTTACATTAGGATACAATTACATAGGAGCTAAAGGAGATATCAATGTTTGGAATCCAAATGTGGAAGCAGACGATGAATTCACCACGGCTCAAATCTGGCTTAAAGCTGGCCCTTGGGATAATTTCGAAAGCCTGGAATCCGGATGGACGGTTAGTTGGCTTGGTTCCTTTAACAATACAAATAAACTTTCCATTCAAAAATCTTAATCCAATATTTTCCATACTTTTTCAGGTAAACCCACAGTTATATGGTGACAGAAGGACCAGATTCTTTGCACACTGGACAGTAAGCGGATAACCGTTTTTTCATAAGAAAAGAAGATCGAAATCCACCATTAAATATATCATTAAAATTATCTGTCTTTATTTGCAGAAAGATTCATACAAAACAACAGGCTGTTTTGACCTCACATGCAGTGGCTTCGTTCTAACAGGCACCGAAATCGCCCTTGGAGGAGCCATTGAGCCCATCTCCAGTCATTTTGGTCAACAGTACAAAATAACAGTAGGCATATACATGGTAAAATAGACCTCTTTCTCACTTCTCATAACTTTAATCGCTCTGCTCCGATTCAGTATGGTCTAATTTTTAATTTTCAGGATCCTAAAACAAGCAATTGGTGGCTAAAATATGGGAAGGATATACCTATAGGGTATTGGCCAGCAGCAACCCTAATGTCTTACTTGAAACAGAGCTCTACATTGGTGGAATGGGGTGGACAAGTTTATAGCCCGAACGTGAAGAAAAAGCCTCATACGAAGACGCCATGGGAAGTGGAGACTTTGCTTCGGGTTTATTTGGGAATGCATGTTTCATACGAAATCCTGCCATTGTGGATTACTCGCTGGCTCTCAAATATCCTGAGTGGGTGGGCGCTTGGGCCGATGACTATTACTGCTACACTGCTTATAATTACCAGAAAAGTTATGGAACTTTACCAGTTTTTTACTTTGGGGGACCTGGTCAAAATAGTAATTGTCCCTGAGTTCAACAATATTTGTGTTTTTGCTTGTTTCCATCGTTTGTATTACAATATAATCCTTTTCTTTTTGTTATAGCGATTGCTTCCTTATAATAAGATCCAGAAACACAAAAGATCAATTTGTGTAAAAGGTGATTGTATTGCACATTTCTTTATGGATTTTAGTAGATAAACATGTTTGGTCAACTAACTTTTAATGTGTTTTTATTTTGGTGGCTAATTACAAGTTTGGATTTTCAGTGAGCGTAATTAAATTGGATTTGGATGTAAATCATTAAATGTGTTGTGTATATTGTGTGTTGTAGGTAAAATTATCAAAATTAATATCTTGCTATGAAAATATCAAAATTAATATCTTATTATGAAAATATCACAATTAATATCTAGAGCAGTGGTTAAAAGTTTTCAATTGATATATCTCTTTTATCAGCGATTAAGAATCGTTGTTGTTTCTAGAAGTCATGGTTTGAGCATCAGCGACGGCAAGGGTGGTTGAGCGTTTATTGTCAAATGATTGAGAGTACTTAGAACATATACAACTTTGTAAACACCTTTAGTTTAATAAAAAAAATATTAATAAAAGACAAAATAAATAAAACCCAATTAAAGAAATTTTATTTTGGTAAGAAATTTAATATTAAAAAGGAAAGAACATTTAATTTTAAGAGAAAATAACCACTGATTTTTTTTAATTTCAATATTAGAAAGAAAATAAATAAAAACTGAACCGAATAAGAAAATTACTAAAGAGATTGGCTGTAAACATCATTCATAGGTTGTGTCTGCTATAGAAGATTGTGATACATATCCTTTCCATCTTACAACTTTTGGGATAAAAAGGCCGAAAATGGCAAAATTGAATATTTCCAATCTTTTCTTGATGCTGCTTTTATCATATTTGAGTGATGGAGCAAATGGAAAAGTTAGTTTCAAAGAAGTTGATCGAAAATTGAAGCAGCTTAACAAGCCCGCAGTGAAGACCATACAGGTATTTTATTTACTAAACCCTCTGAATATTATACACAATACAATTACATGATTACAAACGCCATCGAAATGACTAGTTCATTTTGAACGCTGAAATGGCCATGGCAGAGTGAAGATGGAGATATTATCGACTGTGTTGATATCTACAAACAGCCTGCTTTCGATAACCCTGCGTTGAAGAATCATGTTATCCAGGTGAATTTTTTTCCATCTTCACTCAGTTTCGTTCTTGTTTGTACTTATACTGTTCGTGGACCTAACGAATGCTATTCAACATACAGATGAAACCCAGTTTTGATTTCAAAGAAGAGAAACCAAGCACGACAGACGAGTCATCGAAGTTGGTGGTGGCTCAAACATGGCAAAGAAGTGGAAGTTGTCCAGAAGGAACTGTCCCGATTCGAAGAATTCGAATGGAGGACTTACTCAGAGCTGATTCCATCGACCAATTCGGAAGAAAACCAAAAGAAATTGTCTCTAAATCAAACAAAATAAAACAGAAAGATGGATATGAACTTCCCTCAATGGTTGATGAATCCGTAAGCATATTCAAAGCTATATTTCATGTTCTTTTTTCTTTTCTTTTTTTTCAATTGCTTGACTTTGTAGCTTTTGTGAAACAGGCTGCAACTCTTGTTACATTAGGATCCAGATACATAGGAGCTAAAGGAGATATCAATGTTTGGAATCCATATGTTGAATCAGTTGACGACTTCACCACGGCTCAAATCTGGGTTAAAGGTGGCCCTATTGATGATTATGAAAGCCTGGAATCTGGATGGACGGTTAGTTCATTGAACAATACAAATAAATGCTCCATTCTTTTTCCACTTAAAATCTGTGTCATTATAATATTTTGTCAGGTATTCCCAAATTTGTATGGTGACAACAGGACCAGATTCTTTATATATTGGACTGTAAGTTTTCATCAGAAGAAAAAAGAGAGAAAATCTGCAATAAATTATATCATTAAAACTATTTGTCACTATTTGCAGACAGGTTCAACCGGGACATCTGGTTGTTTTGACCACAATTGCGATGGCTTCGTTCAAATAAGCCCTGAAATCGCTCTTGGAGCAGCCATTGAGCCCTTGTCCAGAGAGTATGGTCAACAGTATTATATAACTATTGGCATATACAAGGTAACATTGGCCTCTTTATCACTTGTCCTAACTTTAATGGTTAAAGTACACAAATGGTCCCTCAACTATAGGGTGATGCTTTGTTTAGTCCTATGACTATTACAAATTACAAAATAATCCCTCATCTATAGGATTTTTTATTTTTTTGAGTCCCTAAAAATGATTCTTATGTTCTAAACTTGCATTTTTATTAAAAAATTGACGGTTATCTGAGAAGGACGTTAACCTACTGATCGAGATATGATAAAATCATATTTTAATGATGTCTAAGCATCATCATTGCTTTCAAGCACGGTCTCAAAAACATAACGACGAAGAGTCTATCCATGAAATATGGATCAAATTTTATCATATCCTAGTCAACAGGTTAACGTCCAACTAAAAAGATCATAAATTTTTTACATAAAATGAGAAGTTTGAAATATTTGAATAGTTAGGCCATCATTAATGTACTTTAATTTGGTTTTTATCATTCTATTTCGATTGAGAAGGTTGAAACGGATGAGACCATCAATCATTATTATGATAATCATTGATAGTTTGATTTTCAGGATCCCAAAACAAACAATTGGTGGTTAAAATATGGGGACGGTATAGTTATAGGGTATTGGGCAGCGGCAACAACCCAACTGTATTTCTTGAATGATAGTTCTATGGTGGTCCAATGGGGTGGAATGGTGTATAGCCAGAACGTGAAGAAAACGCCGCATACGACGACCGCCATGGGAAGTGGACAGTTTGGTGAGGGTTTATACGGGAAAGCATGTTACGTACAAAATATTGCGGTCGTGGATTATTATTCACGGGCTCTCGAGTATCCACGGTGGCTAGGCACTTGGGCAGATGAAACAAACTGCTACACTGGTTCTTCTCACTTTCCCGATTTTTACTTTGGGGGACCTGGTCGGTGTCCTAATTGTAATTGTCCCTGAGTTCTATAATATTTGTGTCTTTTTGCTTGTTCCCATCCTTCGTATTACAATATAATAAACTCAAGTGCAATTGAAAGCTTTGCTTAATCCTTTGTTTTTTGTTATAATGATTGTCTCCTTATAATAAGATCAAAATAGAAAGGTCAAATTGTGTAATTTTCAAGTTAGTATACTCGTCTTCTTGAATCTAATTGCTAGAAGTTAGCCCGTTTTGATTAATTTTCTTCTTTGGAATGGATGTCTTAATTTATGAGACGGTGTAATATTATTCTTTTTTGAGGTAACTAGAAATTGAATTTACGTGATCAAGTGTGAGATCATTTGTCCCTTTCAACACTGGCCCTTGGTTAAGAGTCCAATCGCTTTAAAAATCTAGACAGATTACGCAGACATGTAATATTTTGATTAATCAAGTTTAGAGGATAGTTGTTATCCATAGAGGTCCTAAGTTTAACATTTCTATGTCATGGGTGTTTAAACATTTAATGTTAAATAATTCAGAGTATTTCGAACATATACTACCATGTAATCACTACAATTAATAAAAATAATAATAACTAACGATCTTATTAATTTGAAGCTACCAAATTATGTGAAAATATTTTCCTATTTTTTGAATTTGGTTTGTTTGAGTTATTGACTTCCAGGATCAAGAAACAAGCAGTTGGTGACTTGGTGGCTAAAATATTGGAATGATTCGCTGATTATAGGGTATTGAGCGGCGCCAGACCAACTGTTTTCGTGAACAGTAGAGACTAGCTCATTATTACGATGGATAATGAAAAATGAGGGTAAAAAGAAATTACTTCTTAAAGCTACCGAAAATATCATCTTCAGCAGTTGCTTGTGAGGATGTGAACCCGGTTTTTCCGATACCGGAACTGGTTCCCATTGCTCTCCCCATATTGAATGAAGTTGGAGGTCCTTTCTCTCTTTTATCTATGTCGCTCAATCCACCGAGGATGCCCACATCTACTAGTGAAACCTTACTGGCTGCAAGGTTTTCACATGACAGTGGAACAGTCAAAATAGATGCAAAACATTAAACAAAGAGAAGGGGATAATGAGGGACACTTACGAGCAGATATGTTAAGATCGATTATTCCACGATTCAGAGAATCTGCCCAAATGCCAGACTTCACCTGGAAAGTATCCTTCTTTTGAGGAGCTTTGGGTTCTTGTGAGGGTTTTGTGTTCATGTTGTTGAGGTTTCCATCATTAATCGGACTTTGTGTTGCTTTTTTTGAAGCTGAATCAGGATGAGAAGCGAATGAACCAAAAATGTCTGATGATCCATCATTAGTTGGATTCTGTGCTGATTCTTTTGAAGCCGAATCAGGATGAGAACTGAGTGAACCAAAAATGTCTGATGACCCATTAAAATTGTTCAGCGGAACAATTGCAAATGGATCAACAATGATAGTATTTGCTGGCTCAGACTTTGGTGCCATGGTGTCTTGTGGGACAACTGGATCAGTGACTGCAAAGAGGTAAACAGTTGGAGGGGCTGCAGGAGCAATGGCAAGCTGGGAAGCAAATAGATCAACCTGTTTCTGCTCATATGAGATGAGGGAAGCTGATTTCAGCTCTTCATAATCCAAGGATATGCCCTAATATCGAACTAAAAATCAGATTGTATATATGTCATTGAACTCGTATATTTAACAGATCATCCGACATTTCAAGGTAAAGGAACATTATATTGTATTTCATGTTCCATGATAGGAACATTAAATTGTTACATTCCCAAAAATTAGATTAAAGAAAAAGTCTGACCTGTGCCTGAGGACTTGCTTCAGTTTGAGCTGATACGAAAGTTGCATCAGCAAATAGATCAACTTCAGCTGAATTAGTATTCATAGCGGTCTTTTCCACAGGAACAGACGCTGGATTATCGAAGAAGTCATCAATCAAACATTTTCCAAACAGATCCACCAGGTTAGAACTTTCAGTCGCTGGCTCTGCCAAAAGAATAATCAACAGTGCATTGGTAAAATACATACAATCTAAAATCATTGCAGAAGAGGAGCACACAGAACAGTTATTTAACCAATCCTCAGCCTGTTAAATGAATAACTAGCAGGAACAACATTTAAAACCTAATGATAAAGGGAGAACCTCCAAATAAGTATTCTCAACTTAACAACCAAATTTTTATCTTACTAGAATTAGAAGTTCCCCTGGGATCAAAATCATCATCATCATCATCGTGATTACTTGTAGGGGAGCTTATGCTTTGACTGTATTTGGGGGAATCACTCAATTTTGGAGAGAGTTCATCCTTTGGATCCTTGCTGCAAAACAACATTACACATAAGATTTTTTTTTCTAATAAAAAGGTATGAAACAGTGAGGTGAAAAGTTGGAAATCTTGAATATGTGTATATGTAAAAGAATGTGAAGATCATACTTAATGTGTTTGCACGGTGTGAACAAGATCAGCATGCTATAGTTATAGAGCTTGAACTTCCATAATGGAGGTAACATGGACAGTGGAAAAGGAATCATCATTAAAATAAATGGATTCACAATAACAATATGATTCCTATTTCCTAGAACCAAACTTCGTAAGCAATATACAAATAAGGCAATAACTACAGAGTTCACAAACAATGAAAATGTACAGGTCCAGGAAATTTTCTCCAACTTAAAGATAATAGAGTAATGGCAAGCTATACTCCCCACAATCTATTGAAAATTTTGCAATTAACAGCATAAAACATATACCTGCCATGGCGTCTAGACTCCTTTGAGGAATTTGCTCGGCTCTCACTTTCAGTCTTTCGACGTGACTGCACATAGGTATCTGCATCAAACTTTTTTTCTCCATATCGGTCCCTCTCTTTATAACTGTCTCTGTAGCTGTTACTTTCTCTTCTGCCACTTAGGCCTCCATACCTATCCCCACCACCTTGGAAGCCTCCACTACTATATGTGGATACACTAGACTTAAAAGTGACACCAGTAGATGACAGGCCAATGTACCTAGAAATAGCAACAGGCGCAAAGTTTAATCCACCAAGACCTACAAGCAAGCATACGATTTCACTTGGCTAAAACTAAAATTTAAAAAAAAATCTTGGATTTTGCTGTTTTATCTAGATAAGCCCTATATTTTTTATACACCGGAATAAGCCCTTAACCTTTGATTATACACAAATAAGTTCTTAACATTATCTTGTTCGTAATTAAGAACCTAACCTTTAATTTACATCTAAACAAACCTTTGATATAAATCAAATAAGGACTTGTTTAGGTACAAATCAAAAGCTAAGGGCTCAATTGGGTACAATATAGGGACTTATTTAAGAAAGGTGAAATAGTGTAGGGGGTGTTTTGGTATTATAGCCATTTCACTTCCTTAAAATAAACCTACTTGTCACGGTTTGCAGCAGCTTTATTTCTAGCTTCTTCTATTTTTTCTTTATTATTCAAAAGGTTCACTATGGTTTCTGCTTTCTT